AAGCACTTACTAATTTAACTCGCCCACCACTGGAGAGCCATGTTTTATGAACTTGTTGACCCCCTTGCTAACAGAAACCAAAGGAGACTTGTTTCTCCAGTAAAAGTAAGGCTTCGCTTGTTCATATATACGAAGTACATCCTTTTACATTCGTCGATTCAAAGGACTCAAATTTTTTTCCTAATCAGTATATAATATAAATAATCTTGTTAAGATTTATTTATAGTATAGGCTAAGGATCGAAACAGGCAGAGAAGAATAGTTAGAATTGGCAGCTTAGGAATGCCGGCGAGCTTCAGAGTTGACTGGGTCTTCCATTGTGTGAGTAATTCTAACGCCTATATAATAGCTATATCTGCACTATTTTCAATGCGTGTCCTACTTTTACTTGATGCCCATTTCGACGGCGATCTCAATTAACATTGCTGTTCGTCCACTTATATTGCTCTACATAGTGCTTGGTTATTCATCTGTTTTTCTAGTAAGTTCGCGTTGCGAGCAACCCCAACAAGCCCCACCATTCCCTCTTTTCACTTCACGTATGATTCCTTGCTCTGTCGTTTTTTCGTTCCTTTGTCGTCGTCATCGTCACACCTGTCCGCCCTGTCGTTGATGTTGTTGCCACTGTCGTTGTTGTTGTTGTTGGTACGACCGCTGCTTCTTTATATGGTACTGCAGACCGCGGAGCTACTTGTGGCTTTTAACGCCCACCACGTTATGCTCGCCATTTGTGTTCAAATCCGGCCAGATTTCTTAGGTTGTACGGACGCTTAGAACAATCTCATCATCGAGATATTTTATTAAACGGCAGATGAGCGCGATTATTGTTACTGGAGCCGCCGCCTATGACGTACTAAGACCCGGTAACACGGGCTTTGCTACTAACTTGTCAAGTCTGCGTCAATTGTAGGTGCTGCGGAGTAGCGCGAGACTATCCCCCCATTTTTCCACTTAATTCCGCTAACATAACCTCAGAAATGGCAGCAGTCCCTTCGCTACTGCTTTAAACCGGAAGGTTAGAAGCCTTTCTCGATTTGCAACCTTCGGCTGCCACTAAAACAAAGCTATCGGCCGATATCGCAACGACGACGATCGGCCAAAGCCTCCGGACGAACGAGGCAACGAGTAAGCGCGGAACAGCCACCGTTCAAACTCTGCTTCGACGCTACAGTCCCCTCGGTGCCGTAATGTTGGAGCCTGCACGGTGCAATCACATATCGGTACAGAAGCACACCGACCGCACCTGCACAGCGCGAAACGCTTCCACTGTTTGTGGTTGACCATTCACGTTGACCCTGCAGGTACTAGGTTAGGAAAATGGCAGGCACACAACTCGCACAAGTTCCCCTCACTCGAAAACAAGGAATACGGCACATGGGCCACTTGTATACATATACACGTAAGTCGTACACAGTGTACGCTACCGCAGTGCCATATGCGCTTGGGTTAATCCGGTCTATAAAATAAACGCAAAAAGTTCGCGCTGTTTCCGCTGCTGAGATTATTGGGGTGGTGGTTCTTGTAAAAAACGAATAGAGCAGGATGCATTGGCGAGCCATAGGCCTCGTCCTTGCCGTGGTGTACATGCTGCCGACGACCAGAGGAGGCCGCCACACATAGATCGGATGCAAGCGAAACAAGAGACCGCCACGTAACTTAGAGCATCGTCGGACTTCAAATGCTATGGATGTCGTCCTTCTTCACTAGATACTTCAATTACGGTTAGTTCCGGTTCCATTCATTCGCGAGCATGTCACCCTTTCATTTTGAGCCTTCAGCACGCTCTGCCGCCAGTCGTTCTATTTCTAACGGTGCTCTTCGCCGTTTCGGACCAGCAGCCAAGCTTTAGCTTGGCTGCTGTCAGTATTCCTCGCGTTGAGACTTTACTAGGACCTAAACTTCCCCTGACCTGTTCTAGCCTTTACTTGTAGTAGGGCTATCACTCGTTTTTCTAAAAGTACGCCAGCAGTCGTTTCCCGTTTCTTCTTTTCATCGAAGTGGCAGTTAAGATCCTTGCGTTTGCTCCCTTCCTCTATCAGCTTTTAAAAAACCTTCTGTCATCGATGCTTCTGGCACCGGTTTGTGCTTGGGGTCCTACACCCGTTTGCTAGCTGCCTTCGCTTGTGCTTGTCTCAGAACGATGATGAACGCGAGCTGAACGAACTGCCGACCGCCGAGTTGCGGACCGAGGTGTTTCCTTCACATGGTTCCTCTCGTTAGCTGGCTATCGACTGCGTGACTACCCACAGACGACGAGAATGTTCTCTTATAGACCCGCTGTTGAAGGGAAACAACGGCCTGGACCGCCTCTCGTAGCCGACCGTCAGGTTCTCAGTCTTTCGCAGTTCCATTCTCCACTCGCCCGTCCGCTGCCATCATCGGTTATTCGAGGGTGGCTGATTCGAGGCAGATGGGGAGTAAATTCAAGGGTCGTTTTTAAGTTAATGAGCTTATCATCCCTGTGGCGGTCGGTCTCCGTTATCGCTCTTAATAATTGGCTCCACAGGCCCCAGGTTCTTGGATGGTATCGCTACACCAGTGCCCGCCGATCTGGATCCAGCAAAGCGTACGTGAGAACCCACGCATTTCTGCCGAAGCGCAGAAACATCGATGTTCCACGTTTCGAACGCTTGAACTCTTCCCACTCTTGTGTTGTAGACAGAGAAGACCTTACGGAATGTCGGTGGCCTGTTTAGTTGATGGGAACCACAGAACATGTTATACCGATATGAATAAAGAGGTTTTGCAGGAGGCTCGCACTGATGAAAAGGTTCACTTATTAGAAAGTAGTATAGTTGTTAGCTTGGATGCTACTTAAGACAAAATTATGAGGCGTTACTTCGCCACAAAACACCATAACGAAATTTACTGGATAACCGCAGCACGTACATCGACAACGTTGCAGTCTGACGTCGATGATCGAGCAGCTATGTCTGCCGGTAAGCTCACTGTACCTTCATTCAACAAGCAGCCTACAAGCAATTAGGGACGAAGTCATGTTACGCTTACCTAATGTAACCCACGGCACACGCTCTTAGCTACGTATTCGTACGGCTTGGGATAATTGGCGTTCCCCACTTTCCACGCCAACAGCACATATACGAGTTGCTACATAAATGGCTGTATGTATGTATGTATGTCTTGTTGGTTGGAAAGAGGCAATACAATCTTATTGAAACGACCGGAGAAAATAGCAGACCCGTCGGCTATTTATTAACCTACCTCGTATCATGCGCCAACAGAATAGTGTACGTTAGGATGGGCAAGGTACTACGCAAGGGCTGGAGAGCGGCCGCAACCATTGCTGCTACGCGAGATCTATTGCACCCCAAACTTGCAGGAACAGTTTTTGTCGAAAAGCGACCGTGCCGGTTGCTGCAGTCAGGTCGCCGGACCTCGATGACCGTCCCAGACTAGATCGAGACTAAACTTAGCGATCGCGTGTCATAGATTGTACTCATAAATTCAGTGAACGGATTCTAGGAAAGTAAATGCCAGAGGCATTGACTGGATACACCACTAGAAGAACGACTTTAAGCGAAAAAAGGTGTAAAAAAGAGAGCCGGTACATCGAACGGAGGAAGAAATATACTCATATAAAGGTTTGTCTAGACTTCGGTCGTTCATTCGTTTTCATTTTTTATTACGAGGCAGATTGCGATGAAGGTACTCATTTGTAGCCATGATTGAATGTGGTCAATTTTAACGCTGTTCTCTTTGAAAATACAATTATGATAGTGTGGTATACACACAGACGTAACATTTCCAAACAGCTGAGGTAACGCGTGACAAATAAAACATTTCCGCTAATATTAGACCGAGGACGAAGAGTTCATATTAGGAATAAAGGCCTTGTGAGAAAAAATGGCACAGTCTGAGTTCGTATGTTTTTTGCTAGGTTTGATGCCAAAATGACTTCGTATCCCTAAGCGCCTTTTTCGGTAGAGACAAAAGTTATAACAGAAAAATGTGTTGTATTACGTGGCATCGTTACGAAGGAATGCTTTATAAATGGTACGACTGTCTAGCGTTGACGTGTGCCTCTAGGGATGGTATGAAACAACGGTGCTCTGCTATGTATATAAGTGACTTTTTTTTACGTGCGTCTCGATCCACGTCAGCATGAGGATCGATGGAAAAGAGGAGTTGTTACGAGAAAGGCGGACGAACTGACTTACACGCTAGGCGATTCAGGCCGCCCTAGAAAAAAAGGCTTGGAGATATCAATCTTGCACAGCAATGAAAAGCATAAAATAGCATTGCGGGCTGCTGGCATCGGACTTGTTAATTGGCTTCGTAAGTATAGGCGAGCGGCAATTCTGTACTAGCCGTTATTAACATGGTAACAAAGGGGTTTTAAGGAAAAGCCGCACGCTTGAAAGTTACCCACCGCAATATCAAGTATCCAGCGTTAATCTAGCGCTTGTCTAAATCTGTTCTTACTTTGACAATTAGTTGAAGTTAATATTTCTATTATCCGACTCACATATCTAGTATAGCTTCACGACGCTTCCAGAACTTTGGTCAGGTGTGCCCTCCACCTGAATGGCAACTTGCGGAACGATAGTTGTATATTAGGAAATAGCAGCACGCACTTTGTTCTGCGTTACTCTGTGACCCACAGTCGTTGTCTGCTGTTTGGCAGGTATTAGTATTCCGAGCATGTGTGGTCATGGAAGCCCGCTGCTTGCATAGTTGGTTTGCCCCACATTTATCACATATGAACTGTTTTCAATCAGCAGCTCGTCCGTATAAAAAAGAAGCGCCATTCAACTCACAGATTATTCGGGGGACTTAATATCGGAATGGTAACGATTAGGTGGCAAGTAAGTAGTGTATTAAGGAAAAAAAGATGTTAAACATTTAATGTCTATATAGCAATATATATAATCGTGCATATTTTTTCCTTCTATCGAATCAGATCATTTCTATGAGCTACTTGAATACTGCTTCTGCAAATTTAAACCGTCATAGGCTATTTGAAGAAGCGCGGCACTCACCGACAAATGAAACGTTAAGCAGTGCCTGATAGATGAGTCCTCCGTCGACTTCCTTCAGCCGGGGACATACCCCATGAGCCCCGCAGACCCTTTCACGGACGCTGTCAATTGCGTGGGCCATCGCGTACACAGCATCCACTACGAATTGCACCTGTTAATAATAGGAAGAACCAGCGTGACCAACATTAATACCCCGGCTACATGAGCGCTTTAGAGGCAGGCTTAATTTGTCACACGCATATGTGGTCGTTAAGCAGGCCACCAAATATATTCTGTTGTATCACGCCGAACGTTAATGTCGTTAGCACAAAGTAACAAGCAATGCCTGCTAGATTGTAGAAGAAGCCAGGATAAAGTTCCCATAATGGGGTGTTTACTCGAGCGAAAATTTACAAACACCTCTTTTTAAATCATCTTGAGTTGCGTGGAGTGCATTGTTCATGGTCCCACTGGTTTCATAATATACTATGCTGTTATTCGTATGTTAGCGCAGTGAAATTGGTCGTATCCACGTCACCCACTTCGCGTCGTTCCCTCAACACTGGAGGATAAAATAACATACATCTTTAAATACGTCATTCAGTTAGGCGACCTAATCAACAACATCCCTACGATGCAGGACACAAGTGACTATTACTGAGTATGCAGAATAATCGTCTGCGGGGTAAATTTCCAGCACCTCGAAAGGTAATAGAAAATCAAGCGTGGCTTGTTCTCGAAGCGACACTTGCCTGACATCGCTGCGGCCTTTGCTACTACTGTCACGGATGATCCTGCTGTCTCAGACCACCACAGCGAACCAGGCAAAGTGTGTAAAGCGACGAGTCGAACGATGCTAGAGGTACGGAATAGTTTTTTTAAATGTAATCGCTGTTTGCATAAAGGCCGTTTGAGCCTTTGGCTGCCGTTGTTGCCTTTCGTCGATAGCAAAGTAAAGGAGGGCGTGGTAACAGTTCAGTGGGTTCGGTCCCGAATTACTCAAAGGCTTACTTTTGCGTCGGCCTCTAGCATGCGTAGGGACCACACACGCTTGGAAAGTTCACAGGTCAGTGTGCACTCGTGTGCCCGGATATGTTGAATCTAAGTCAGTGACGACGGATCTGCAAAGGAGGATTCAAGCAATGCGAAACGGTGGTCTAAGCATACAACGGAGAGGCGCGATGCAAATTGTCAGTTCAAGTTGCCTTCCTCCCGCGACGATAGCAACATCATTATAATAGCCTTCGTTTCTTCACAGTTTGGCACGTTTGGCAAAGCCTCGATACTCTTCGAGCCTTCACTCCGGTAGTCGCTATCCCGGTAGCCCGCTAGCGGCAGTGCTTTGGCGGCACCCAGAAGGTACGCATAAAACTCAACGTATCTGCGTGTTTACAGGTCGACCTCGTCTCATTTCTGTATGCTTCTTTACGCTATATGTGGGTTACTGCCTTCATGTCATTCGACCAGATCTTTTTCTAAAGTTTGGAAATTGCCTAGTTTGGCAAGCAAATCTCAAAATGTCTCAACAGCACAATAGAGCATCTGTGTCACAAACAAGAAAATAAACTTGGCACCAGAAAATAATTATTCTAAAAAGTTGTATGCACACTTTGGGCTCTTCTAAACTTGTTCCTCCAACTGCTGGATCGACAAACACACGCTTAACATAGCAGCGACACTTGAACTCTTGCTTCTTATTACGACTGGTTTCTCCCTTTAGTAAACAACTAATACAGTTGCATTGATGAATGCCAAGCATAATTATCGCAGAAACTTAACGCAATACGTTTTGCTTTAATGATTTGTGGGACATGTTTTTGTTCGTTTGTTAAATTTGCATATGGTGCGCCACGCCACGCCACGCCACGCCACGCCACATCGAAGATCTTGTACCATTACTGAGAAGTAATGGCAGACAGGAGTAACGCGAAGCACCTTATCATCTCCTAATCAACAACTATTGTTGTTAGCAAATAATTGTAGCAAATAACATTCACATAAAGTCATTAATGAGCCTAAAAGTACAGACTATGTTATGATACCCTCATCTACTGGCCTGAACTAATTTAGGACGGTATCCTGGCCTATTTCTTATAATTCAGCAAATCCCATTCCAGTTAACACTGAAAAATTGTTAAGGCGAGAAGTCATACATATATATATATATGGCTCCTCACCTAAAGAATCCTATATATATGGGATCCTTATTGGTAGCCTACACGAAACCTGACAGGGTTTCGTGGAACTAAAAGCGCATTTATAGTCTGTTTTTCCCAGTTAATGACAAAAGACTATTTTGTCTATAGATATTCTTGGGTGTTTTGTTGCATCAGCACAAGGCACCGAAGCATCAATCTAAGATAGGTGCGTTACAATATTGTTCTCTTTTTGAGGTGCCAGTACGCCCAACTGACCTTGTTTTCTTGTTTATATCCATCCTTCGTCGAACTGATGTTAAGGTTTTCAGAACAGCTGGGTAAAGACGAATTACTCCCACTGATACCCTGGGGGAGCTTCTCTTTTTCCGAGGATGTATTGCGGATCTTGCATTCGAAGAGCGCTTCCCAGTAGTCACGGAACCAGGGGTTGCGCTCGTTATTTTCGACGGTCAGATCTAGCATATACCTAAAACGTAAAAATGTAACAAAAAAAATCGGCACTTTGTAATTCCAATAGACAAATACCTCTTTTTTTTTTTACTAAGTAGTGCTTTTTCGTGATGTCTTCGATTGGTTGCTAGCGATATGGCATACGAAAGTCTTAAGCAGCCTACCTACCTGTCAAAAGCCTCTATACGCCGTGATTCGAGCTCAATGGTGATGGCACCCTCGGCGGCCTCCTGCATGTCCTCGGAGAGAGCGCGGGCTCCCCAGCCGTCGGAAGCAATCCAATAAAAATCGAATGACTGCAATCTGTGTTTTTTATCCAAGTAATATTAGTACAAAATCGCCAAATGCTTCTATATTAGTAACGAACAGTCACTTACCCAAATCTTCAAATATGTACTGCATCCTACCCGTAATCACATTCAAGGCCCCAATATTTTTTAGATCCGTAGAACTTAAACAGAAAGTCAGCCCATAATAAAATCGTCCTTTTCTTTGTCCTTTCATTGCTTCTCCGCCAGTGTTATCTGCGATCATTACTGGTAGCAGATTGTTGACTAGTTATGCATAACTAAAGGTAACTGAACGCTCTTAACCGTTTGCCGATCAAAGGAAAATGACAAGCAGAGAAGATCGAGAATGGTGGAACATCGAAGAGGTGGTGACACTTGGGGCGACTCCGGGGAAAGCGACAGGAAGCGGTTATCACTAATGTGGCTGGGCTCAGCAGGATTCTGGTACCAAGTATAAATTCACTGGATCCCGTGCAAGGCCGGGCTGTTCTGCCGGCCGTTTGATGCCCTGAAAGGTATCAAACATAAAGCAGCGAAAGGGGAAAGCCGGAAAAGCTATACAAGAACTGCGGCCATATTAGCAGAATTAGCGCAGTAGTATCAAAGTATCAGATAGATGGGCACGATCCGGTTTCATAAAAGGAATTTGTTGTGGGTACGGCCTTATCGGGGACTGCAAAACCGTGAGCAACTCCTTTCGGGTAATGAATATCTTGCAACTTGTATCGAATTGCCTTTAACGAATTCCAAATTGTGAAGAAAATTCCATAATAGTGGCTGAAGGGAAGTTATTGCATGGCCATTCCGGCAGCAGATAAAATAGCATTACACGGCCAAGAGGGAACAAGATGCAATAAACCGCACGCTGTCGCATAGGCCTAAAGTAATTCCATCGTCGGGGCGTCACGAGATGGAACGATCCGAGGAAAGTTTCGGAAGAACGGATATCTTATCAGCAAAACGAAACAAATTTCGTATCGCCGTCTTTATACCGTTTGCTATACGAAGGACGGATGGTGTCTTACAAGAGAGTAGGATGTAGGATGGATAAAGTTGGATATGTACCCTAGCGTTTCTGCTGCGTCATGCACTTATCAACAAACGTATGGGTCGAATTGCTGGAATCTTCTATCATCTAGGCTAGTCAACGGGATCGAGACTGTACGCGATCTTCAGATGAGGCACATCCACGAACCTTTAAGAAAGAAATATAACTGTAAGCATATATGCTTCTTTTAGTATACTTGTGAACGTATACGCTCGCGTAGCAAAGCAAAGGTTCATCAAAGATCTTACGGCGTTAGAACGTTGATCGCAGAGAATCTGCTATAACAGCGACTGGTGGAGACGGATGGTGAAATGAATAAGACATTGTTGGCACTGTAGTTCTTAGCTTTGCTGACATTCATTACGGTAACAACCATCATCAGCATCGTCGTTTTCAGCCTCAGGAGGTGAAATAGCTGTTGATGGGCTCTGGGTTCGAAGACTGAATAAAAATACGGCAAGGGAGGTATATGCGCAGAAGCTATGCTGTCGAGGCTTCAAATGCAACATGTAACTGGCGGAAAAATTAGAAAAAACACATTCCCATGTATGTAGGTATTTATTCTGGCTAGAAGGTAGGAAGGGCATGAATCAATAGGGACGAAAAGCGAGACAAGACTAACAGTGGGATAGCTGCAGGAGAATTCTGAAAAGCAGGAGATGGGGTTACCTGCCCCTGCTGTGAATCGGTGCATATTTGTGTCTATAGAGCCAGAACGAGAGAAAAGGAACGTAAAAAAAAAGAAACGATGAAGCCATGAACTCGCTTATAGGCTGACAAAACCATTCATAGAGACTGACCCCTTTCTTAGCAAGAGATCACTCTCGGTAAGAACGAAAAATGTAAATTTTGTTTGTGTCATTGCATGACAGTTATAATATTGTCAGCTAAATATATGCTTGGTCTCGTTAAGGTCTCATCACAGGTTTGCAACATAAACTAAGAGTTCCTGTAACCATATTAGCTTCATCTACGAAGGCTATGTTGTTTTAGAGCTGCTGCTTATCGAAGCATTCGGGTACTTTCACGAATCATTAAGTAATGGAAATGTCGTAGAGTTCAATGTTATATATGAAACAACTGTAATTTCTTTCTACCTGTCACGATATTTTCTTTTGAGCTCTTTGGCAGCGCGTAAGACACCCTCGGCGTGATCTGCGCGTACGAATAACACAACGACTTTAGCGTTGGGTTTTTGTTGAAGTCGTTCCAAAGCAGAAAGGTACTGTTGTTCAGTGGCTGAATGAGGTATCTGAAATCAGGAGAACGACGTTTTTCGCTCCTATTTAATATGCCTGGGTAGCTCGCTTAGGAGATGCTGAAAAGAGAAGCTTATATTGCGCTGCATAATATCGTCCAGGTCAGTTGCCTGATATATTATAAATGTAAATATAGATATGTTAAGCATAGCACGCTGTCAATAAAACAGCTTCGTATACAAACGGAAGATACTTCCGTTAGCCCTGATTGGTAACCGACTGGAAAATTTTGAGAAGAAAAAATTGAGACGTGGACTGTTATCTTCAGGTCCTAAATAGTATATTTGCTGACAGAAGCGACGACTAATTCGGTAACTTATGGACTTTGTATATTGTTTTGCGTTCTTTTTGTTGTTTTAACACTTTATAAATAATGTGCCTCAAAAGCCTTTGATAGTCAAAGGAGGTATTGGAAATTTCTCTGCCACTCCAGGACCATTCTGCTATATGAGTAATTCTGGTTGGATATTATACTTATTCAGAGCTAGTAAGTTTCTTTGTATGAGCAGTATAAGTAGATTATAATAGGCTTTTTTCCGTTTATATTTGTTTATTATGAATTATTGCTTTGTGCATATAAAGGACAGGAAAATAAAGATTTTTAGATGGCCGAGAAGGAGGGGCTTGAAAAGGACCACGTTATATGACAGGTGAGATAGTTTGACGTAAAACAAATAGAAGGATTTATTTGCCGATATGTCTCTTAATTTGTAAAATAGTATACAACATGATCTTCTTTTTATATATATATGTACGTTTCGTCTAAGATTAACTTGATATGTCAGACCCAAGTGACACTTACTAACCCCTTTTACAAGCGGGCAATTAGGCCATTTTTTTCATTAGGTTCATTCATCATTCATGAAACGTGCGATCGAGAAAATTAAAACTCTTTTTCCATACTCGCCTTTAGAAGAAGCTTAAACACATGTAGCTGGGTCTTTCCCAGCACTGATAAAACTAACATTAATTCAATTCAATTTTTCTAGTATTTTCTCTGAAAATAAGTTTCATAATGATTTATAAAACCGTTCATTTGTCACTGAAGATGCTTATAGAAAGGTAGATTTCAGACCCAGGAGAAATCTTGCTTAACCTTGCACTTGGTGCTAACAACTGGTGCTGCGAAAGAAAGAGATGTTCGTATATTTGCTAGAGTTTCTTCTATCATCTGGTTCAAATGGTCTCACTAAATAATTCCTTTTCGAGGAAATATTAAGAGAAGATACCTATATCGTTGACCCATATAGCCCTATAAACTGGGGCTCAATGATTTCGCGCAAAAAAGTCAATCGTTTAACACAGTTAAAAAGTAAAAGGTTTTTACTAGAAGAAAATGATTGTGATTATATGTACAGAAGAACATGCTTTAGTATAATTTACCGTCAAGTTAGGCAGATTAGAATCACGATTCGCCTGTCGTAGACCATGCAAGGTTTTGCAATTAATATACCTTCTCACTGATGGCTATGCAGATGTTGTGGTGGCGAGCCTCCTTGGTAAATTGTTCCTGGCCCGATTCGCCATATTGTCCTTCTGAATAAACCAAGCTCACGTATGACCAGTTGAACGTTTCTACTACTGCAACCATAGCTAATGCCTAGAAAGCGACAGCAAAAAGCGCAATGAAAGAGACATTTGCACTATCTCTGTACTAAACGATAAATCGGCGGCTCTTATCCTACGCTTCTGATCTAAAAATACATGTCTATTTTCTTAAAAAAAAAAAAAAAAAGTCTAAAAGAAAACTAATTCAAACTTGGTTTGTCTCTTCTATCCCGTTGCTCGTTTTGCATAATCCCATTTTTTCACAAAAATAAAATAAATCGCTTGCTTTACTGTAGATGAGATACAATTTAACATCCCGTTACAGTTACCAGACTTTACCTTCCGGCCCCAGTGGTACGTAATAATGTTTTCCTATTACTTTTCTAATGTTTCATGCATTTAGTCCATGCTTCTGCTCCAATCGTATCGTGCGTTCATCGCAATAATTTGTTACCGCGCTCTAAAAACCTAGCTACACATAAAAAATAGCTGATTTCGATTTTACATTGTCTGCTTAATTGATCTGTCGTTAAGAAATTACTGAATTGAAACTTTAGCTCAGGTGCATATCTCTATTGAGCCACTCTGTGGAACGTCCAAGAACATCGAAAATCCGACCCTGTCTGAAAATCCAACAATCAAAATTCAGCACACGACCTAGCCAGGAGTATTGACCGGGCCACGCAGAGCGATTCGACGGATACATACATTCGCAGACAGACAGATCTCTGGCGATACATATACGTGAAACAATTATCTCCAATTTACTAATAGAGTCCCTTTCGGCATATTAAATCAATATAAGCAGAAGTAAAATTTACTCGTAAGCACACATTTTCGTTACTCCTCGAGCCGCCTAAGCTCACCTCGTAAAATAGGGTCGATTTGACGGTGCATTCCCGATGGCTCTTCAGTCGCCAGCTTGTAAATCTCGTTGGAAATTACCATCTCGGACCAAAGGTAAACTTTGACAGTGCCGTTTAACAAATATAACTAAATAGAATAAAGATGAAAATGGGAATATTTGATTCTTAGAGAGAGAGAGAGAGAGAGAGAGAGCCTCTCACATAATATTCAGTGGCTGAGGTATCGTACAGTTTCAACGAGGAGACAAATCCTAATTTGTAGTAAGCGAACGGGGAAAAATGTATAATCATTGTATATGTAATAACACCATGTACGTTATTTGTCCGATTCAAACAAAAACAATAGATCGCCATCAATCGATAGGGATCAGTCGGCCTTGAATACGGTTAGTTCACTACTAGTGATTCAATTAGGCCATGCCTTAATTGTTGACAACAATCATGAAAAAATGATAGTACCAGCTAAAATTAGCAGTGAACAACAGAAACATAGATATATAAAAGAAACTATTGATTCTGATTGATAGTAGATGGAGTTGCCAAAATGGTAGACGGATAGCGCACGTAGAGGCCTATAATGGGACGGGCGACAGCGGCCGTACCAGTGATGATGACTGAAATCGGAGTGACCATTAGCTCATGTGCCAGTCACTTTCACGGTGGACACTTTTATCGGGCAAAAGAGTAAACTGCTGGTTCCAGTCGAACCCAGATGTTAAGGGAAATTTGTGGCCAATGCGTTAATGGGCCTGATTGATGCGACAGTGAGAGAACACTGTCAGTTGCCCAAAGGTCGTATCTGTCTCATTATACATCCTCTGTCGTTTGCAGAAGCTACAGAAAAGTACCCAACGAATGTAGAAGAATACATTTAAAAACATTGCTAATTGTTTGGTCAGCCCACTAGTGTGTTTATAATTAAACGTAAATAAACCTTTTAGGTGCAGACGCTTTGTGACACTATTCGTCAGATAGTTCATCAGGTAGTTACGAAGCTAAGGTTGTCGATGTACACTACGTTATTAACGAACATTTCCGTAAGTTAACAAAGAATTGGCGGCCATCATATTATAGACATTTTATGCTAACCTCATGAGTATCAGAAACGTATCTCATAGAAAACTCGCCAAGCGGGCAGCACCGGTTTAAGCCCCTCTAGCGGTATAGAGTACGCGACAGTAACGAAACATTACTAACTATTGCAGTGACGTTTATCCGGGTCCAGCGTGCTTTGATGAAAAGAGATAATAATAAAAATAATATTAAACCGTTCTGCGTTTGCTTTAGAGTAGAGATTACCAGAGTAAATAGGTTCGAAGGGTATACAATGTGAAACCGCCTATGGACGAACTGGTGATTGAAGTCATCGCTGCCCATGGCAGTCGTGAAGCGGGAGGCTATTAAGTCAAATAGGGCATCGCTTTAGCAGTACAGATAGGCCGCTCGGTATCGGTAAGCAGACATGCAAGTCATGGTTTCGAAGTAATATAAAATATAACCCGAACCACGGCCCAAGCTGATGAAGAGGTCCAGGGTTTAGTGGGTGAGAGTACCAGACAAAGCACAATTCAGTGATGTCTGGTCTGCATAATGCATTTGCCCTCAACCTCCAAAAAATAGCAGCTCTCTGTCGACGTAAGGTTATGAACCTAGCATAGTGTTGATATTGATACATGGAAAGACTTCAACAATGGCCGGACGGAAATGGTACGGCTGTAGTTATGACAAAGATCGTTTACCGTCCATAAACAGATTGCCTATTGTTTAGTCCGTGGGGTTTGTTTACTAGGATGCTTCCTATAAATTCATACCGATGAGTCCTGTAGCCGCAAATCACGATATTTGAAAATAGCTCGCAGCAAAAGGAAACTTGATTTATTATTTCGCTTTGGAAAAAACTAAGTAAGAGGACCCCTTCAGACAGACAATATCACAGCTAGAAACGGTGTTGTGTAAATGTAATTCTGTTTCTAAACTAAATTCAAATATGTGCCGTATTGTTTCGGTCACAGTACAATGATAACGAGGTTGTCTATTAAACTTAAGGACCCATGAAACAGATCAAGTCCAAAACCGGATATAAATTGATGCTGGTACGTAAAACATTTATATACAACGTACAGTATATAATATAATATAACAATTAAGATGCAGTCTTGTGACAAATGATATACAGTATTTGCGCTATTTATTTAAACAGCTTCGTAGGTTCATCGACTATTGCCCGTACTCTAACCTTAAAATCAAAGAGAATACTTAGCGTAAAATAAGACGGATTTTAAACAAAGCCTTACGGCTGCAATATCGCTGTAGCTCACACAATCATTGTTTATGTGCAGTATTTACGAAGGCTGAGCGCCCCATATAGGAATTTCGAATGGATCGCTCAGTAGATAGGCAACAGTTTCAGAGAACCTAAGTCTACAAGTACGTTGACATTTTTTTTTATAAATGCACAGAAAAGTTTAATGGTTCGAAATTGCTTCGTGTGTATTGAGAGTCATATTATTAAATATTATATATATATATATAATTAGTGCGAACGCGAGAATCACGAAAACTGCTGTGAACCCTTTGGCCACTGTAAACGCCAGCTTCGTTTGAGGCTAGGTGTCATCATCTAAAACTTCGACGATATTTTAGTTACATTAATCTCGTCAGTACTGCGTATAATCCCCTTGTTGTACAGTTGTGTCGTAACGTCAAAAGGATTTCGAACAGTTGGACCATTGATACATAGCTATTTAAAGACGCTTACGCCGATGTGGATATTTATTTCTAGCAGATAATTTGTCTGCTTACCTGGAATGTGTCGGGCGGTACGGTCCTCGCGAAGAAGTCGTAGCGGGTCTTATCGGAAAGGGCGGTGCCGGTGGACGCGGGGCTTATCTGGGGAATGCGGAAGAGCCGGAGCAGATTTGCCACCTGCAGACTCACTTCGCTGTACGAGCCACCGATCACCCCGCTGATTGCCTGGACAACACGACATGGCGACAGTTATTCTTCAAATTACTGGAAAATTAATCTTTATAAATACATGCATACGCCACGTTTTGCTGACATTCTCTTACACGTTTTTGCATAACACTGAATTAACTTGAATACAAACGGCAATGATATGCGGGATGGCAGTGTAAGACCATGAAGCTCCATCGCCCGATCTTAACTTCTACGGTTGTTCTTTTGGCCCGGCATCGGTCTGCTCCACCCTATCCCTCCCTTATTTTTTTGTTCTCATTACTCTCGTCTCACAGTGAAGAACGCACCAATGCATCGTCTAGGTTTGATCAGTGCGACTAATCCAGGCGCTTGGAGTTTGAGTCCTTTTCGGTCCACCGTGAAATCTCTATTAAAAAATGTTTCTTGTAGTTCGTTGACTTTGTGAGACCACTGCCCTGTTGCAATGTCCTCTAGGATCTTATCTTTTTCTTCACAAAAGATTAATGGATCATGTTGCCCGTCTGCCTACTTCTTTATTTGGCCTTCCCGCCATATACAAGAGATCGTTCTGTTGGATAAATACATTTTTTGTTACCCCCTTTCTTCTCGACCCATGCCGTTGACAACACCTCAAAAACTAACCTATGTCTAACCCCAAAATGCCTTTCCGATTAGAGAAGACTGTTTGTCGAGAAACCCCAGCCGTCAACTTCCTTCATATTAGCTTTTTCATTCCTGTTCGTTGAAGTTTTCTAACCAAACCCTGCATCGATCTCGTTTCATCTATTGTCCTCCTGCCTCGTTCCATATTTGCCTTCCGCGGCAAAAACCTCTCCAGCAGCCAAACTTGAGCGAGTGTGTCACCCGTTAGAGTGAGAATGGAACACTTCGAACGAAAATACCAAATCTGCGCAAGCGACAATTGAGGCGGCCGAAATTTGCGTAAGAAAAAACAGAGGAGAATGCGGAGGCTATGGCGGTAGGCAGACCAGAAAAGGGAACCACAATTCTTTGTTTTCTGTCTTGGCTGCAGTTCTAGCTAGAGCCCCATAAGCCTCGCACATATAAGTTCAAGAGCTTACGAAGTACCCACAGTAGAAGTTTTCTCCGTTCGGTTCTGGAGGATAGCTCCGGTTTTTTAGAGCTGCCTCGCGTGCGATACTGGGCGGCATGTGATTTCTCACAAGCAACAAACGTTTTGCTTTCCTATCGATTATGGCCATATTTAGCCTCTGTAACTATTGCCTACTCTCGTACTGGTCTTTTCACCATCTATTCTTGGTGGGCTGAATTCCTTCGCCTCGTACCTCCTTTTCCGCTTACTCCTTTCAACTTTTGCTCCGGGAGATGTATTTCGTTGGAGTACCAGTGGCCCTAGTTTAGCCTTTCAGTGTTTTAGTCAATGTTTCCAGTATTACGCTTCTTACAGCTTTATTTCTCTACGCGGCAAGACAAGCTTCTGAAAGCCTTAACAATACGACAAAGACAGACTATTCAAGGCCAATGCCCGTTACGGATGTTGGGATAAGGCTGTTTCCAACCGGATATTGAGTGGATAAGAAACTGATAGAAAAATTAGCATTGCTAACCGAATTATATATTAAAAACAGGTTAAATAAAATACGATAGTCCAGCCCCCTCATGCCAGTAGACAGGAAAGTTAGATTGCACTAAAATGGATCCTCGTGGTTCTCACTTACGTGTACGCCACGTGTCGATACTACATACGCATGTGAAAGACGGCCCGCACTCAATTTTTCAATTGTACCTAGCTATATTCACATAGGAAAAAGTTATCTGACTATTTTGCTTAGAGTAGCCCAGTTTACTCTACCACATCTAGTCTACAACTTATTATGTCACCAATGCATTCATGGCAGCTGCGATAGCCAAAATTCTATAGTAAAGGGCATACTCTTGCATCATATATGATTTGATATATTTATGATTTTGTTGGCCTATCTCATATAAAGATACATTTCAATACGAATTTTCTTGTTTTATGCGGCTTACTAATGAGCCAGTCTAATTATTGAAGCCCTTCCGAAATTATGCTAAACTTTTTCTGATTTTAATTATATATCTTCTCAGTAAAAGGTCGTGCTTTTCTTTTTTTAATATGTACCAGATACCCAGCAACAAAACTAAACTCTAAGGAGGGCGCACTTTTTCGAATTGCTTATCTCCTCGGAGGGGAGGTAAAAATGTTTGTCAAAAGGTCTTCGTACTGATTTAGCATTCGCACCTAGAACAATAACAGTTACTACTCGCTCGTACGGGTCCGTCGCAAATACGACAGTGGCGTCTAAGGGTGTCAACCGAGCAATCGCGGCAGGTTTTGAGCTGCGAATCGAGAGCATGAAGGCTTGTGAACGGCTGAGAGTAACAAGTGCCTGTCTGAAGGCCCACGGCAACAATGGCACATGACCGTCCCGCCAACCTTACGTGTGTTGTGCCGAAACTCGTGGCAGTTCCTCCCGATGACTTCCCCGACACGAAATTGAAGTGCAAACGAGGCTGTTATAGATGACCTGACGTATGGCAGATTCGCTGCCAAGCACCGTGTCGATCGACAAGAAGCGATAATATCGACGGCTTTGACCTTACCTCCCCGTCCAACAGCTCGAATCCAGCTTTGAAACGACAGTGAATCAACGGACAAACTCGAACTGCAAGTTCCTGCCCTTCGCACACGCTTATGCATCGCCTTACTCTCGTACTGTCGCCGAGCACTTTCCTGACGATTCGGAGTGTGACACAGTACATGACGACGGGACACGCTTGAAGAGGACGGATGTACGACGAAGGCTTGCCTTAGTTCCTGTTTAATGCTGTTAGACTGTCCGTTGGGCAGCGTCTATGGCTATCTGCGAAACATGCTTGCGGTATGAGTACACGATACTGATAGGAAATTCACGCTGCCATAAGAGCTGCAACAGCAATGCCAATTTGGGTAACACTAGCCGGCTATGCGTTGCACAAAGTATGCAAAAAGATCGCAGTGTTTCACGAGCTGTACAGAATGAAAGAAGAGACCAACAGCGTGTGTACATACCCCATGGTCTCGCTGTCAAAGAACAGCAAAGAGATCCAGCTCTGAAACAGGCCGCTGGCAAGCAAGGCTTTCAGCACGCTGCAGACCGTAGTGGCAAGAGCAGCAATGACCCACAAACTCCGACATTGGCAGGTCAACTAACTCGACTCGAGAAGCTAATTGGACGAGAACAAATGTCTATGCGGAGAAAAAGAAAACAATTTGTCATACGTTCCATTCTGTTGGTTGATTAGTCGCTTCACTGCCGCCCTCACCATTGTTTTCATTATCTTTCACTATTAACCAGTTGCCGAGTGAAAGGAGGTCGAAAGCCGCTAAGGTTCGCGCTAGTCCTAATAGGATTTCCCATGACGCCTCTGTTAAGCAGCCAAGCGCGAAATGTGGCCGGCGGCAGTGCGATTTCCTAGTCAGCGCTCGCGCGAACCTTTTCCAGGCATCTGTGTCCAGTTTCTTATTTTTTTTGATAACTTCCATAAAATGCTGAGCCCTTCGACATCTTAGTGGCTTTCGTCCGGTATTCAAGGAAATGGAGCAACAAGCGTCTCACAGGCATCTTGAATCAACAAGGACAATACGAAACACCAAGACGACGAATGTGCTTTGGTCCAGACGACTGTGAGGTTGCATTATGCATGAGAGGCAATTATATAGACGAGTCTCTTTGGCTGCCTCTGCGGATGATCACTTTACAAGTAACAGACCCTCTTATCCTCGAGTGCCCTAGAGTCTGTTTCGTCGACATCGGTACAAATCTCACGCCACGCACGATTCCCTATGTAGCAGTTACTATCTTCCTATATCTGTCAACGTTAACACTGCTTGGGACAACATCCACTGCTAAAGCTGGTGAATACTTGTACGAGGCTCTACCTCAATGTAAACAGCCAAAAATTAGACTTAAAGAAATGACACATTTCACTACGGGTGTACTATTCTCCTCTAAGGTTGTGCTACGTTAGTTGAAAGAGCACAAGATCCGTGTATGTCGCATCGTAATCAGGAAGTCGGGTATATAAGCTCTTGAGCCACGTCGAAAGTAATGGCGTGAAACGTAATTGTGAGATCAGTTCTATTATAAAAGGTCTTTGAATCAGCACATACTGTTATTGTGGTAATAGTAGTAACGGTAGGCTTTATACATAGGACAAACCTTAAATATAAAATTCTGACTTGACTTATTTATGAGAATATGAATTCAAAGTTACCAATCTCGAACGGGTCAAGACTAGTATTTTTACTTTAATTAAACGACAGTCGACACACATTTGTTAATTATTATCATACTCTATGGATCAACGATAATGATGATAAACTACTACTACCACGGCCTATACAAACTTATGTGTGTTACGGGGGAGATTCGCTGCTTCAGGTCCCGAGTGGCCATATGCGTATGTTGGCTGAAAAAAGAGACGAATGTCTTTCATGCAATTTAGCTTGTAATCGAAATGCGTCCATATTGCTTCGTTGTCAAGTTAAGTTAAGAAAATCTGTAATGAGTAACATGTTAGCCAGTTACTACTGATTGCGGCTGAGGGACAAGCAACGATACTTACGGCACTAGCTTCTGGTTTGAGTGTCAAGTTGCCCCCGCCATGGCAATAGTAGTTGTGCGGATCGGCGGTGTTGATGGAGGCGCGAATAAACTCGAGACTCTGGTTGAGAGCATATGAGTCGGAAGAGCAGGTGTCGAGGATGGTTGCACCCAGCCTGACGCCGGGCAGAAGCGTCTCATCCTCGTTGATGCGGTCGATGGCGAACAACATTGCCTCCAGGCGTTGGATGCCTCGATCCTTGTTTATGCCACCGCATTTGGCGTTTTCGCCCTGAAATACAGCCATAAAAGGGAACTGCGTAAGCAAACTATCAGTGAAAAAATTAGTTTGTGTCTTACCCGTCAGACTAGGGTTTTATTAAACCTAGCGACAAGAAACTCCAACAAAAAATATATATGCATGGCGTTTTATTTTCTTACCTACGCGTGTAGCATTATAGCCCAAGGTGTAGCCGGCAGAGTTCACTTCCCGAGCCAGAAATTTGAGGGCTAAACATGAAGGGCTCTAGTGCATGGGTACTTCGTCATTACCAGCCTAGGTCGAATGGTGCTCACAATTATCAACTCTTGTCTACTGCATAAACCCTTGCATTTTCTCGATCTTCCTTTTAGCCAGTGCAATAAAGCGGTTTCTGCGTATGAAAACTGCGAATGCCGTAAGTGCGCTGTGTGCTAGAAATCAGTTTTTCTGTGTCAGGGGTGTAGTTGTTATACATATATAGGGATATACGCGGTTATATCGCGTCTAGGTTATAATGATTGAAGATCTTCTATATCAAAGTCTGAGCTCTATTTGATCTACCGAAAACATAAATAGGTCAAGCAAGTAATAAGCTTAATCAAATCAAAATTCTGGATTGGTTTTAGAGGACTACGAATGATCACTGTTCTAACACGATTACTGTCAAATACTAAACGTATTTGAATAATAGTTACCTGCTAACAAGTGCAAACTTAAAGTCTATCCGAAAGTCATGCAAACTCTTTGATCTTACACTAGATTGTATTTAATACCTGCTCTATACATGTCATATGGTTTGGCTACATAGTTAGGGGTTGTATAGATAGGGAGTATTCGAAGCAGGTAACCACGCTTGTTAATCATTGTCGCCCTTGGATGGTGTTAAACACTTAAAGATCATACTGTTCCTCTTGTCCGACGCGCGTCCGCACTCTTGTTCCCGTCTTCAAAAAGTCCGCTTTTATTTCGAGCTACATGGTTATATTAGCACTACCTACGCGTCAATTAAGAATTAGAGCCGAGATACACTTCGTTTCAACGTTACGTAAAAAGAGTTCGTACGAAGGTTCTCGACAACATAAATCAGGAGATTTGAGGGGTCAGTAAGAAGCTAGGGAATAAAATTAAACCTCAGTCTGCGACCAACGGCTGCAATATTGGTAGCAGCAGCAACAGTGAAGACTATTGCATCAAAGACAGCAGCGCACTAACAAAAGCAGTCGATCGAATTCGATCTCTTCAAGCCAGAACAGTGCATCATATCATCTACCCAACTGGCATCTGTCCACTTCCCCAGAACTTCACATAGAGTTGATAGCAAACATCGCCCGTCAATGCTGCTCGATTATAAGGAGCGAGCATTTGTTTAGGCTATTCACTCCTGGAGTCACAACAACAACAGCGGCGATGACGACCTGCCCCTAGCGTGCGTGCGTACATACATATTAACCCTTATATAATGCCGTCGGCAATTTTGCTTTTCATCCTCCCTAACCTGAGTGGGTTGCGTCCACTTATTTACCTAGCTGCCTAAAAAAAGGCTGTGTCCACCACTGCTCTCGCTCTGCGTGATAGGGGTGATTGTGTCATTGCAAGGAGCACGAACAGCGATCGGTAAGCGTGTATGGGATGTGTATATGTCTGAATATACCAAGGGCACATATAGTATGTGAAAATGTATTACTCACAATACACCCTGAATCTAGTGACGGCACTAAACTGGTGGTATCGGCAAACTTCAATGTTAAAGCAACAGAGGATACTTTCCAGTGTCCTCTTTACGCACGGTAACAATAGCACCGATCAACAATAGCAACCACGGCCACTTCATCCATCGAAGTAGGTTCGATCGATACCTGGTTCTCTCCCCTTCAGTGACAGATGTGCATTTATACATACACCGTGGACACGGACGGCACATGCACACAATAGGTGCAGCTATCGGCTGTGACAATGGCACAATGCCAGAGGCGATAGCAGACCCAATCCTATGTCACTTTGGCGTCGAGGTATATTAATCTAGTGACTATCTTTGTTACCACCGCAGCCACTGATTAACTCATTGCTGGGCACCACGACCCAAACAGTGCAATAGTAACGAAGTAACCTGTGCTCATACTTGTTCCAGTTCGTACCTAGACCATCCTCCTACGACCCCTCATTCTTATTTCTCAGCAAACTTATAGTAATAAGCTCGCATGAAAAACGTAACGTATCGAGCTAATTAGATGAACTCAACATCCAGGCCGCATAAAAACCTGATCGATCGAATGGAAGAAACAGAAAGAAACTTGAAGGCGTGACAGTTCCTGCTACTCCTGCAAGTAAGGCTGGGTGCCATGGGAACGAAAGGGCAAGTACACCTATAACATTGCGGATCTTCTTCAATCATCCTTATTATAGATGCCGGTCGGACCACTCAACAAACCTTATCCCCTGAGCGACGGATTTGCCGGTAACATCAGCCAAGCAAGCACTCTTACCATGATCTCCTTTTTTTTCCTCCCTCTAGTGTTACCATTTTCTCCTTTTTTATTTTCCTTCCTTCTCAAAACGATAAACTGGCATTGTTGCAGAATGGCCGTGTTAAGCTTCGCAGGCCAAGCAGACGGGCAAAGGTGTTTCGCTTTAGCACAGTATTTACAACGCCACCGCCTCACAAGCAAGAGGAAGAGCAGGTTGCTGACTTACCTGGCTGGCGAGATAGAAGGTCACATATTTTTCACTACACAAAAAGCACCAACTCCAATAGCTTCCCATCGTCCTGTCAATGTAGTCGTGGAAACCTAGGTGTCGTTGCCGTCACAGTGCAAGGAGGGGATTTTTTTAAAATATGACCTTTTTCGATACACGTAATCCCGTTCAAGTAATGAAGCCTCCAGTAGACGAACTTCAGTAAGCTTTTCCTTGGCTCAGCTTCCAATGGGCAGAACAGATTTATAGAAAGACAGGCGAACAACCTGGTGGGAGACAACGAGGATCGGACCGGGTGGCAGGAGCTTGAAAGGTTAATGTTTAAACTGGAAGTGTATTCGGTATTATGGCGGAGGTGATAACCTACTGTGTAGGCGCGACCTCGAAAGGCTATGACTGGGCCCCCACTAGCCATACCTTACGCTGGCCCACGACCATCAGCAAGTTTATTGCGTAAGAGTTACTCACTTGCCCAGCCGAGTCAGCTGTTGTTAATATACATGCCTTTTTTCAACAACAACAGCTACCACGCGGCAGCGCTTTCTCTTGTGTTATGGAGTTCCGAACGGCATCCACTTCCGTAATTTCGATGCACTTCGCTATCCTTGACGGGTGTGTCCGAATACACAAATTCGAAAGTTTCAAAAGTGCAGCAGCTCTTGGGTCTGACAGAGTATTTTTTTGTTTCTGATTTTATTGCCGTTTAGTCTTTTTAGCGTAAGTTTATTTTGGTATCAGAAACGTTAGTAAAACAGCATCGGTCTCCGAAAATGATCCTTGCACCTTTCTAGCAAGCACGACAGCAGGTTGCAGAAGTTAAGGTAAATCTGATCGTGAATTTTCTAAGTATTTTCCTCAAGCACACACGACAACTTGGAAACCGGCAAGTAAGAATGAACGTTTGAATTCTACATAGCGACACCGGCTTGTCATTTGGAAACTATTACACAAACCTACGTAAAGACCAATATTGAAGCAAAGATGCTGCTGACGGAGTTTCCGCAATTCAACGTCCGTTAGCTGAGGCTATTGGAAACTCAGTCTTTTCCACGAACATCTTCATGAGAAGAATTCATTTTCAATAATACACTTAATATTAAGTGTTTTTTTATGCATTCATCATAATATGCGTTACAACATGATCGGTCACATTTGAGCATTCCGTAGTTTTCGTCACGCAAGTTAGCTGCTCAGAATAATCAGGATCTCCATCCTGCAAGGATGGAGATCCTGCAAGATCCTGATGCCTCCTGCAGTAATCCTGATTATCCTGCAAGTATCAGCGTCTCAAAATATTTGCAGGATGGCAATGAGAAAAGAACAGGCATAGAGGGAAAACAAATAAATATCCAATTTACACCTGCGCATTTGACGTCGGCATTCCCTGTGTGTCCCTATGCGAGCTGGTCTAACTTATTGTCAGACGTTATTCCAAATGGTCCGTTTTCGTAATCATATCAGCATAGCATATCATGCTAAATCTGCAAAGCAGGACACCACTTCGAGAAGGTCGCCGATTCTTGCTAGAAGCTAATATCTACAGCTGAGTCAGAGCGGAGCCTTTGGCCGTGTTGTCGTATTTTGGTAATAAACGATAGTAAGACAAATATAGCCAAAACTGACAGAAGAAAATTAGACACAACTTTTAATAAGCGAGTACCACCTACACATATTCTCAGTATTAAGCTCGTAAGTTACCTGGCTCGCTTGGCCATTTAGAACTTTCTATCCCGCTATATAAGCTCTTCTTGGTCTCTGCAGAAAAAATGTATCACACGGGATGACATATGCCTGCAAGTATGCTGCCCCCGAGGTTGAAGGTAGCTGCCAAGTAGCTGCTCAATCCTTTCTTCTTCCAATCAGTTCTGTACTCCCTCCAACTTCGCCTTATCTCGGCCCTCGACGTATTTGTTGCGTATTTGTTGAAAATTTGCCATGTCCATCTAGCGGTCAGCTGGTATCCGATATGACGCGACGAATGTTGTTATGTGACAAGGCAAAGGAAAAGAGGGTCTCAGAGCTCTTGGCAGCACCTGCCAGTAATCTTTGGTCAAGCGTCACAGCGGAGGCCTATTCGATTCTGTACCGTTACTGATATCGCACCGATTAATCGCCCCTCAATTCAACGTTAGCTAAACAACGTCTTTCCTTCGAACGACCTAGCTACCTAGGTGTGTAGCTTGAAAAACATTATTCGGTCAGATCCACAGTTGTTGTTCCCTAATAAAGCCAACTTCGTGTTGTGTACCAGCGAAATTGGCGTATCTAACACAATACGGATGTACTGATGAACCACATCGAATAGATCACCGCATTTATCTAACGACTCGGATATAACGGTCGGAATAATGTAGTCTGTGTTCAGTTGATGCCTTATTAAACATCGTTTTTCCAAAGCCGCAGCAACAGGCAAACTGAAAGGTCTCGCATATTGCATGATCATCGATTGGTACGTGCTAACTTCCTTAACTACACTTGCATGCATATACAAATAACAGAAAAAAACAAATAAAGCTCGAACCAAATTGAGTTCTCACACTCTTTGTCTCCTGTAACATGTCTCGCACTGGCTTTGCTGAACAGTTGTGTCTCGCTTTTCGTCTCAGTAATTTTTACTTGTATAGACGGTGATGCCTTCGGCTTCCAGATTTTTCTTTGACAGAGATGCCTGGGGATTTGTGGAGATAACCTGTTGCCAACTCGCTATCGACCACCAGACCTTAGGAGCAGGTCCAGTCAAGTGGAAGAATGTGGTTGAAGGTCGGTTGCTGGGTCAGCAGGTCGTCTGGAAGATTGTGATGTTGTTGCTAAGGGCGGCAAAGACTGGCTGAGCGATGAGGGCAGCCACGGCTAGGCATTTGAGGTGGCTTTTCGCCCAATGCAGCCCAGCAGAAGGGCTATGGATAAAGGTTGAGTGCGAAGACAGAAAACTGGCTTAGACTCCAGAGTAGGCTACGGCGTCTTCGGCGTAGCCCCTGCTGTCACGTTTAGATCAACGGTGGAAAGCAACGATGACAATATTCTTTTTCTGTGTACCGTAAAGGATATTGGTATTTCCCATCACATCAAAGTGCACCACACTTATATCTCAATTTATAAGGAGGCGCCTTTTTAATAAACGAATGTGTGTTATAATGCTAGACGTAGAAACTATGTTACACCTGAGATGTTTTATTTTGAATGAATCTAAATGTGTTCCTCAATTTTCGCTTCGTTCCGCTAGCACGCAGATGTTTGATGATGAAAAAATGACAAAAGGCTCCCTGGCAAGTTCCACTCTATTTCGTAATTTGTTTATGTGCATCATGCTGTTCCGCAGGCGAGTTTGAAGACCTGGCAGAGTTATGTGAGATATTAAACAGTAAGCTGGAAAGGGTTGGGCCTTGACGTAAATCAAGTTCTTCTACAGGAATGGAGTTTAATTCGTTGCTATCTCTCGACCTGGTTACTAAGTAATGACTCATCAAACAAAGTGCAATATTACTACTCCATGGGGAGCAGCATCTACACAGCGGTCTTTCGTTTAACAGCACAATGTTTAAGCGGCTTTTTGCTTCATATAAATGCCCGTCAAATGGAAAATTTACTTCGATACGTTAAATGTAAAATCAACGCTTCCAGGTAGTAAAGCGTCCTGCTCGTAAGGCTCATCGTTTGTGGCGAAATCAATAAAAGCTGCTAGCGCCAACGCCGAGCGCAAAATGAAAGAATATTCGCCAAACTTTTTTCCAAGATGTTCACAAGTCCAGTATTATTGCTGGATAAAAACTTTAAAGGTTAAAGAACTTTTGTTTTCGATGGCTGACGTATGAGACAACACTATTAGCATGAAACAAAAACTTACATATGAATAGGGGCGCATTCTGGGGGCGCTTAACGACGCCCTCGACGAAGAGCACTGAGTGGAGTGTGCAACAATATTGCACACAATACGAAAAGGCAGATTTGCTCTGGCACGGGTAACGGGCACGCGTTTAAACAACAGTCATGTCCATACCCGAATGTTTCACAGAATCGTATGCAGCTAAACCATATGCACATATCTTCTGTAGAATCCACAGGTCTGGCTCTCTTCTACTCAAATATTTCAATGTGGTTCATGTATGCGTGGGTGATTTTGGCAGTAATCTCACTTGGTTTTGATAAGAAAAAGATACGAAATTAAAGACAAAACAAAGGATACGCTACTCAGTACTTGTTATTCCGTTACTCTGTCGTATTATGTCGTATGTAGCCTGCCGAAATCGATAACCCCGTTAGCTGCTTCATTGCAATCATTGCGCGCTTCGATTATAATTAAACCGTCACTGTGGCTCCTCTGATTCCTTAACATGTTATAGGTTATATCGAAAGAAATGCAAACATTGGATCGCTGAATGGAAAAGCCGACTGTATAAACATACACCTTTTTCAAACGTTCTAAACAATATGCTGGAAATAATATGAGCTATCAGATCATTTTTCAAAATCCAGTTGTATTTTCGTCGTGAAGCACTTGAAGGACAAGGCAAATTTTGCGCTAGGATATTTCACCGGTCGTTAACCATTGCCGAACAGACTGTTGAAAACGCTCATCTAAACTTCTTTCTCGTACTTCTATTAAAGTATAACTTAGTTTTACCTTTTGTAAAGGGAGTTTAATAACTTCCCTCGAGTACGTTACTTTTACAATAATATTTTATCTTCAAATCAAACTTTGACTCATAAATCATAGAAGTTATTAAAGCCGTTTTCGAGCAGCAGCTCGAGTCGTGACCGACTAACGAGCATTTCTTAAGTTTTGGTTTACACTCACCTTGACATGTATAGGGAAAAGTCCACCGAGAATGATGTCGCCGGGAATGTGAGCCTTAAGGGCGTGTGCGCCCCCACCTGCGCCCCCCTGCGCCCCCCGGCCGGCCTCCCCCGACAGCAGCCCGGCCAGCAGGAGCAGCCGCACGCCCCATATCCCACTTCTATCCGCTCCACAGCCATAAAGTACGTCACCGACCATTCGCCACGCCGCTGACACCAGCGCCAGGATCATGCTTAGCGACATCACAGCTATACTTTGGCGGTCTGCTAACGCCATCGTAAAAAACGGCGTCGCCGCCGCCATGAGACTAGGCTGAAGGAACAAAGACGAATTCAACCTATTTGCCGGTAGCTGCGCCACTGATGACAAAATAGAGCTTATTCGTGATTCTCCAATAAACCGCGAAATTCCGTCGAGAATCAGCGCGATGTTTTCTTGAGCTAGCAGACGACGAGGGAAGTTTGTGCGCTGCATTCCGCAACAGTTCGCCTTCGCGCTATCGTTACAGGCTCTTCTTTCGCTTGTTTCATTGTTAGTGCTGCAAGCAGCTTTCTCAAAGCTGATGCAGCTGTTGGTGTTAAAGCACATGTCGACACCGCCTCGCACCGCGTCCACAATGTCGATTAATCGAGAATCCTTTTCGACAGTAATAACAGGAGAACGTTCTGCCAAAACTGGAGAACATAAACCTCTGATGTGCGGCGAAGGAAAGTAGTAAAAAGTGCCGTCGCCTTCTTGTGCTTCTTCCACTGTCACAGCACCGACGCAATCCGGCGTTGAACCCCAACGTTGTGGCGTCATCGCTGCTAACTCGGCTGATCCTTCTTCCGTGGTAATTTGTTTCGTTCTCTGCTCGCGCCTCCACCGTACCCCCCTGTGACAAGAACAAAAAAGAACAAAAAATAGGCGGTACTTCTTTAAAGTTGCACATGCGTTTCAGACTACGTTGGGGACGTACCTGTTGGCGCGCAACTGGCCACTTCTTATTTTTATTAAAACTGCTAGTAGCTATTTCATTCAATAAAAATATTCATATAGGTTAATAGTTTCTTCGCTGTACACCCTACTTTTTTTATATTTCCCTTTTGTACAAAATTTCTCTCAGGGCAAAGTAACACATCACTACTTAAGTACGCAATGATCCAACGCGTGTTTTATATTTGCGTCTTATCGTGTGTTATGTGCTCGTTGTTCCTACCTATTAGCATTTAAGTAGCGCGCCTACTACATTAGCTCCCACTAGTAATCGACGTACCGTCTGCTCTTAACTATATGCATCGCCTTCTGTCCATTCCGAGCTCTTACCTCAATTCTTCAACATAAATATGTTGCAGAATTGAAGGTTTCTACATGCATGTAGAATTCCTCTAGAACGTCTAGTGTTATAGAACGAGCCTTGTGTATTTAATAAACAAGATCATGGTTTATTTATTCTTGTTAGAACGTATTAAGCAGACACGTATGCGCGACGATAAGGCGCGATAGCTTAAGGACAATATATTTGTCAGCTAATCTTAGGGAGATGTTGTGGTCTAGGTTCGAACACGGGCAGAGACACACGGTTCGTTTCGTGCTCTGGGGAGTTGTCTGATCGAATGCTTAGCGGCAACACTGGGCGTACAACTCGAAACATGGAGGTTAAGTGTATAAAAAAACGGAATAAAGTGCCCTCGAGAGGTTTTACTGTACACATCGAAGTTTTCGGAAACTCGGCGTCACTCACATAGCTTAAATATGCTCTCATTGCATCGAGCACAGAAAATCAGATTACTTCAGCTGTCAAGGATATTTCGCAGATATCAATCTCTTATTGGTTCGGGTATAAAACTAGCAAAGTAATCGTAGGACTATTGTTGATAGTACTAATAGGACATTTATATACGTATATATATATAATGAGTTTTTCCACTTAACAGAACATGCAACATTTCAGTAAAGCTAAGACAGTAAATTATATAAATATCATATACTGGCCTTCACTTTCTACCAAAACAATCCTGCTATTAAACAACTGATTAATTTTCTTCACTCCAAATTTTCTTTTACTAGTTTAATTTGTTACTACCCGGAAAATATGATAATCCATCGCTGTGTAGCCGGAGAATAACACAGGTATGAAGAACCCTCTTGCAGAAGAGCTCTACTAATTTTTATCATAGTCGGCCTAGGGAAAGATAACTCTGTCTCGTCTACCAAACCTTTTCTGCTGGGTAGCCTCATTCACCTGCAGTAACTGGGTCCTATGACGATCCTTGTTTAAGCCTAGTGTTTTTCTCTACCATTTTGAATATAAAACACCCTTCCACTCTCACCAAACGCAGATCATTGTCCTCTTCAAATATAAATTTGGTCTGAATTGGAGCTTAAGCGTAGCTTCCAAAGCCACCCTTTTATACAGACGTGAAGACCGCTTCTCGTCACGTGTCTGAAAACCTGTCGATTGTGGTTGCGTGTTGCCTCGTTCCGGGGACAAACTATGTAGGATCAATAAGGACTGTGTTTCTTTGTTATTTCATTCATTTCATAAAACCCACAGTTTTCCAATAAGTATCATATATACAAAATGCCTGACAATGGTCATGTCTATTTTCACGCCCAGTCTGTAAGTTGTTTATCGGTCGCCTTCCTAAGTGCTTTCAATCGATCGTCATTGACCTCAAGCGGCTGGTCGGGACGAGGTGTATCCTCCAGCTCGCACAGCTGTCCTGTCAGCAGAGTCCTCGTTGTATACGGCGCAAATATTAGGTGTTGCTTCGACAGCTGTTTGACACGGGTAAAGGGCACAATAGGGTAGGTGTCAAAAATATATTTTTTTCACCCAAACTTTGGAGTCTGAACTCGACACAATGTTTCGATCATGGCTTAATAGCGATTTATGACGAATTCAGAGGTAAAGACCACTTAGTAAATAGCGATATACAAAATAATCAAGAGAGGTAGAGGGAAAAATGAATATTAAAAGTAAACGAAAACTACCCGTGTCTTGACCGTCCACTTGCGCTTCTTGCTCATTTTTAACAACAGTAATTCTTTTGGTTTTGTCAACATACCCGTAGACCACCAACATACTGAATTATATATATATATATATATATGCCTTTAAATTGCACTTATGATGTATTATCACGTATTCCTATGACACGCGCATATTTTTTTTGCATCTGTCTGGTGTATTCTACGCCAATCGTATTGATAACAGTTCGTAATACAAATATGTCAACTCGAGGTGTGTATGCTTGGCACAGCTGGGAACAAGATTACTTTGCGTATTAAAGTCTATAGAAACGTTTCTATATAGTGTGAGCCCAGTATTTTACTGGGTCGGCAGCTTGACGTCTAATGCGTTCTTATCAAGTTCACTAGGAAAACAAAAAAAAAAACATACAAATCGTGACAGCTGTGTTTTACATCTTCAAAGCTTCGGACTTGGATCCTTTTCTTATGTAAGCAATTAATTCATTCAACAAATAGTACTTACCGTCTCGACGTTATTATTGCCGTTCAAAAGGCGTCCCGATCAGGCGGCTCTTGCCTTCCTAGGCCGCGAGTCACTGAACGACGGCGATGACCATGTTCGACGTCGTTGACCGTCCGTTCCGTTTGTTTTGCGCCGCTTTGACCTTTCCGCCACTTTCTGCAGTTCTCCTCCACGATTATTGTGACTGATAATTACTAACACTAGTAAAATCTGACCTCAAGCCGACCGATAGACCTTGTCAACTCGAAAGTAAACCCCTGTGGTGACCCTTTCGACATGAATGAAAAAATAGGGTACGCGCGCCACTTACTCCTTTTACAGACTGCCGTGGCGCCGTACTTACCGAATGCTAGTAATTTCGTAATCTTTTAGGAGGAATTCCGTATTGTCTATGCGGTTTACATTACATCTTAGCTGTTGTTTATATTTGGCATTTTTCGATAAGTGGCTAACTCCCGTACTGCTCGTCCATATTGTGGTTATCGGCTTTCGTCCCCTCATTCAGTTCTGCCTTTTCATCATCTCTATGTCTTCGTTTGTTGTTATTTTTATTGTCGCCGTTGCGGTTTATGTCGCCCTAACTATTTCGACCGTTCATTTTTACATTCGTCAACTTTTTGTGCTCTTTATTTTTTTTAGATGCCGGGTCAAGGGTAATAGTTGTATGACAAGTGACCTCTGTCAGTATCGTAGTGGTGTTCACTGATGACTGCTGCCGTGGTGTCGGACGCATAGACATAGCGACATTTCTTTTCTTGGCAAAAAAGCTAGGGAATAATGAGGCCAGCTGGTAACAGTGACGGCGGCACCCTGCGGCGTGGCCCTTCGGGCGTCATACGATGGCGACGGGGATCTTCTTCTTCGAAATATTCAACAAATATTGAATATGTTTGGCGCCTTTGTTATATGCCGGCCAGCTGTCGTTTCGGATTGTGGCGGCCAACTTCGATTCACTACAATTTGATGTAAGTTCTGATGGTCGTTGGCAGCGGCGACAATCGTCGTTACTATTGCGGTAGGGGAAGGGGGCTGCAGCTGTTGGTACAAGGCCCGTACACCGCCTCTCATTTGCCCCACTGGAGGCCCTCCTTCGAACAGGGGCCACGCCGCACAGCCGCCTACGCCTCAGGCCTATGCCTTCGGTCACGCCAAATGGCATCCGCTCATCTTCGCCTGAAATTTGAGAAAATATTACAGTACGTTAGCTACTATAATGGCAGCAGGTAGGTCACATAAAAGTTGTGGCTCTCAAGAGCTACATGTAAACAGAATGTGTGGCATTATACAGCCTGTTTCGATTCATATGTAACAAGTAAATTTATATGGCGCCGGTGATATCGACCGAGTGGCAAAGGCCACTGTGAGTATCGTCATTGACACGTAGTCTTTCAGTTAAAAGACTCTGCCCATTATTGAAAAACAGTGCAATCGCAACGTACTATTGGATAACAAAATATAGGTTCTGTTCGATGAAATAGTTCATCGATATCAACAAAGCCAGACAGGGATTGTTTCGTAGCGGCTGTGAGTAGTCACTGTTGTGATCTTTTTTTGTAGAAGAACAATTTTTCTCTTGCTCTTATGATTTATCTCTAGTTCAACTGCAGATCTATATATGTAATTATTTTCTAATAGTAAGTCAACCTCTTAAAAGTCTAAATCTACATTTGTCAGCTTCGTGCTTAATACAAATGGCAATTACCAAATAGATAGGTAATGTCTCCAGGTCGCACTGCACATTAGCAACGTATTTTCGCTCAATGGCGGTTGCACACCTTTTAGTCAGATTCGCTTGGCAGTCATTCGGCCACCGTCTGAAGGGGACATGTTTAATGTTCGCTTTACTCAGTAACGTCCGGCTTTCAAGTCCTGCACTTAACGTAATAGTGCAGAACCGGAGGGTGTCTACGTTCAGCACGATGTGTGAGCGCAGGGTTTTCGCCGACGTTGGACACAAGTGTTCGGAAGCGCCTAACGTCGTGAGGTTTAAGGGAAATCGCACAGGAATGGGACAGGGAAAGCATAGAGGCAACACGAAAGAAAGCATCTCAATCCCGGAGCCGCGTAGGCGACGGCGGCCAAGTAGAAGGAAAGGTCCGCCGGCCAGAGATGGAGCCCAATCCCGGCCTTATACGATCGCATCCAAAGTACTTCTCTTCTACCCAGAATTTGCCGGGTGTTCAACGTGCGACTTCTGCAGGATAAAAGCGTAGCAGACAAGGCTAGTTCCACTGGCCGTAAGTGGAAGCAGAAACTCGAGATCCTCCAGGTAAACACTCCGAGGAAGGCTCTCTCCACTGGGCGCTTTATCAGCTAAAGGCAG